GATATCTCTTACTTAATGATTATCAATCATTATACATTTAAATGAAAATGAAACCCTTATAATCCTATACCTTTACTAATCTTGATTTAATGAAATTAATTGTGTTGATTCTAATGGACTTACTGAATAAATTATATTACTACTACTGCGTAGTACTGTACTCGTACATTAACATTCTATAAAACACGTCTTCTGAATAAGTAATACATTATAGGCACATCGTTAAAAACCTATTAAATATGCATGTGTGCGAATCTGTTAGATAAATATATTGAAACAAAGAATTTAAATAAAATGTAATGGTGTTTAATAAATATAAACGGTAACTCCTTTTAATAAAGTTCTTTTCGTTTTGATTTATATGTAAGAATTTGTATGACAAAAAGTAAATATGATTTTGAACTTAATACCAAAGGTGTATTTTTATGCGATTTGCATATAATTATTTCTACGTTATTTAATGTATCGCTGCCCATAGAATATTACCGTGTACTGATTTTTCCAAACATAAAACATTTATTTTCACTCTCTTTTGCATATCAAAGGTCTCTATTTAAATTTCTAATTTGTGGTTCATGTTTTGCCAAAACATCCATACCAAAAATTTCTGTATTATGTAAACCGACATAAAAGAATCTTATGTTTTATTAATAATAATAATTGCTTTCACTTTTCTTATTACAAAATTTACAGGGTGCTTATTTATTTGTAAATTATAACAATAAGGTAAATTTATTAACAAGAAAACTGTATAACATTCAAAGGAGCCTTGAAGTAAATGTTACTTATATATATTTATTTATTATTATAGATAACACGGTCGTCCCTGTACAGTATAACGATTATCGTCAAAGGAGGGGATTAATCATCCAGGATATCCTCCCTCTGTCAATAATCATCAATCATATAAACGATAGACTGCGAGTACAAAACATTAATCTGCTTTGAAAAAAAACTACAGTTTACCTCGAGCTGCTTATTTGAAACAACTTTTCTTACTGCAATGTGATAACTTAGAGTACCTCTTAGATTAGATGGACCACATTCAATATTAGTTAAGTCCTAGGCATAAGACAATCGTATTATTTGATATCCACGACACAGGCTCTGTCTAGTTTGTATTATTTGATAGCCACGACACAGGCTCTGTCTAGTTTGGATTATTTGATATCCACGACACAGGCTCTGTCTAGTTTGTATTATTTGATAGCCACGACACAGGCTCTGTCTAGTTTGTATTATTTGATAGCCGCGACACAGGCTCTGTCTAGTTTGTATTATTTGATAGCCGCGACACAGGCTCTGTCTAGTTTGTATTACTTGATAGCCGCGACACAGGCTCTGTCTAGTTTGTATTATTTGATAGCCGCGACACAGGCTCTGTCTAGTTTGTATTATTTGATAGCCACGACACAGGCTCTGTCTAGTTTGTATTATTTGATAGCCGCGACACAGGCTCTGTCTAGTTTGTATTATTTGATAGCCGCGACACAGGCTCTGTCTAGTTTGTATTACTTGATAGCCGCGACACAGGCTCTGTCTAGTTTGTATTATTTGATAGCCGCGACACAGGCTCTGTCTAGTTTGTATTATTTGATATCCACGACACAGGCTCTGTCTAGTTTGTATTATTTGATATCCACGACACAGGCTCTGTCTAGTTTGTATTATTTGATATCCACGACACAGGCTCTGTCTAGTTTGTATTATTTGATATCCACGACACAGGCTCTGTCTAGTTTGTATTATTTGATAGCCGCGACACAGGCTCTGTCTAGTTTGTATTATTTGATATCCACGACACAGGCTCTGTCTAGTTTGTATTATTTGATATCCACGACACAGGCTCTGTCTAGTTTGTATTATTTGATATCCACGACACAGGCTCTGTCTAGTTTGTATTATTTGATATCCACGACACAGGCTCTGTCTAGTTTGTATTATTTGATATCCACGACACAGGCTCTGTCTAGTTTGTATTATTTGATATCCACGACACAGGCTCTGTCTAGTTTGTATTATTTGATATCCACGACACAGGCTCTGTCTAGTTTGTATTATTTGATAGCCGCGACACAGGCTCTGTCTAGTTTGTATTATTTGATAGCCGCGACACAGGCTCTGTCTAGTTTGTATTATTTGATATCCACGACACAGGCTCTGTCTAGTTTGTATTATTTGATATCCACGACACAGGCTCTGTCTAGTTTGTATTATTTGATAGCCGCGACACAGGCTCTGTCTAGTTTGTATTATTTGATATCCACGACACAGGCTCTGTCTAGTTTGTATTATTTGATATATACGACACAGGCTCTGTCTAGTTTGTATTATTTGATATCCACAGAGCCTGTGCTCTGTCTAGTTTGTCTGTAGTTAGTGCGACTTCCTCAGGTTATATTAGCTTCTTTTAACTTAGTTTATATCAGAACGCCGTTTACGCCAGTAGCCATTTCCAGTTGCAGATATGCGACTTTGATTGCCATTCATTGCATTACCTTCTTGCCTTCTTTTTGTTATGAAAGAGGATGCAAACGAGCTGACTGGTAAGTCGCCTTTCATTTTTAATTAACTCCTAACGTTCCCATCTTTAAGTTCTAAAGTGCTCAGTTTACGGCCACCAAATTAATATGCGAATTGTGGATGTTTATGAGACTTCTGGTTGCAGAGATATTGGTGTGAGTTATATACGATTCATCCCGTGGGTGTTGTAAGAGGCGACTAAGGGAGCAAACTACGCAGGACAACAGCACTGCAGAGAGAAGGAAAACTTGACACACACGTGGTATAGTAGGCCAAAACCTCCTGTTTAAGGAGAGGTCTATGTCCAGCAGTGGACTGTTAAAGGCTGTTGATGATGATATACGACTATTACTTCCTCCGATTTTTCCTAAACTAGATTGAGGTCGGCTTTAAGTTTACTACGACACGGCAAACTTCGATTTTTTACGAGAAGTAACTGCCATCAGAGCACAACCCTACCCTACCCTGGTATAAATGTCCATCAGCTGATGCAGGAGTACAGTAAGAATGTTTTTTTTTAATTCCACCGCTAAGGGTGCAAAATGGGGTTTGGAAATTTATGAAACTTTGTTATTTTTGGTAGTAGCGTTTTCAAACTCACAGATTCAAAATTAATAAAAAACGTTGTCACTAATTCTTCAAAACTACCCTTAAAATGAGGTGCAAGTTTGTATGGAGAACTATTTTATTCAACTTATCGATTCCAAACTCAGTTTAAATATATTCTCTATCAAAAATAATAATAATTAGACACCTATTTTGTTTTACTTTTCAAAACGTATGGACGAGATTTGACACGTAGATAGATTATAGTTTAGAATAGCATAGCCACTATTTATTCTGGCCAAATTATTTTTAAAATTGACATTACGTAAGAACTAAAACTGAAAACCACACCCAAAAAGAGAAGAAAATATAAGTATTGAACTTTCTTAATGATGAACAAAAATATTAGAGAAATATAATTTTCCTTTTATTTCATGTTCTTCTTCACTTTTATATATATTTCGTGTTCAATACCTCTAACAGTAACTTAAGAATAAAAGTTAAAGCTTTTAAATAGACACATTTTATTTCATTTTTCCTTGCAAAATTAATTAATAAATTTAGAGCACAAACATAAAAGAGTAATCAAGAAATGCGGTGGAAAAGTTTCAAAGAGGAAACTAGTTGAGGATTTTATTTTATCAATTCGAGACAAGGAGAAATACAAAATTGTTACTAATACTAGTTAGTACGTAGTAACTGTCCACTCTGACTATCGCAATAAGATTTATGTAGTAAACACTTACAAGTAATCAACATAGGATGATCCTCCCTTTGTGTTACAGGCCCATAACATTCATTGCTCCACAATACACACAGTATTCGTATTTTTTTTATTTACTTTTTGTGCTATTTTCAGGGTAATACAATTCATTACCTCATGCGAGTTCAGTAAAATTACAACGATCCGGCGTTAATTTCAATTTACCCTCGTTCCTAAATTACTCTATTTACCCTCCATTTCGTAAAAACGTATCGCCGGATCTAGTTAGAACCCCGCGTATGTGCAAATTAGCAAACGAAACTTGTCAATGTGTTGATACTTTTTTAAATTCTTTAGACAAGTTTCGTAATAACATTTCTTTCTCTCGGTCATAAACTATCACATACAACAACTTTTGTTTTTTATTTGGATAAATACTTAATATTTTTTAAACTAATACATCAGAACAAGAATTGTTAAAAGGAGAATTGATGAATAGATTTAAAACAAGTAAATTATGTTAGTTTCAAATTTTGGTGCATGAAAACAAACGTTTAAACTGCCTATCAAGAATAGGGTAGATTCCTAGGTTTAAAATAAATTATTATTTATTATTATTAATTATTATTTATCGATTAAATGTAACATCTTAAAAATGTACTATATTTCAATTCATAAAGTACTTTATTGTCTGCGCATTGTTGTAAGTTTTTATTATTTAAAACTTAATTATGTAGTTTCAATTTAAGTATATATATATAAGAAACCTATCGACTAGATATTTCTGGAATATTTACATATACCCTTTAGAAGAGTGCCTGTCTTGTAAAAATGTACTTGGTCTGTGATAGATAGTTTTAGAATATTATTACTGTAACTGTCCGTGTGATGACGGATTAATAATACAGAGTGTCATCAAACAAACGTCAGAAGACTGACTAACAACGCGTCTGGCCAACGTGGTCTAGTAGGCCAAAATCTTCTTTCTAAAAAGAGGCCAATGTTCAGTAGTGGATTATTAAAGGCTGTGGATGTGATGATGAGTACTCTAACATATTTGGAGACGCTTATAGTGTACAGATATCGTTAGTACTGACAGAAAATTTGTGTTACACCTATGCGCCGCAGCGTAGTTTTATTTCAATTTAGTTTCAGTTATTGTGTCCCCTTTGTGGTACCACACGAACACTCAGTTTTTGTTGTTTTTAACTGTAGCCTTTGTCCACAGCGTCCGAATGGCCAGTGATAAACAAACCGCTGAAAGTAATACGAACCAAAGAGAACAAACTGTCCAATAGATTCTTCCCGTACGATGAGATTGAGACTGAATGCCAGCTGACCATAGACGATGATATCGTTATGCTGACGCCTGACGAGTTAGAGTTTGGGTGAGTATTTATACACTTTTTTCTATGACTTAGTATACTCATGAGTTTAGTACGTTCAGGTAAGTAAAATGTTCTTCTATCAATAGGATTATAAGGTATTTTATGGAATGTCGTATTTATCCTAGGACGTGTGGTGTATGTACCTCGGGACGGCTGGTCACTAAGGCCGGTAGTTAGTCGTAGTTCAAAATGGGTATGCGATTTTTATTCGTAAAAAAACTACTTATTCTTTTGTCCTGCTATTTTATAATCTGTCTGACACATGTATTTTAATAGTTCTGCTGTAAAAAAATGGTTCTACCTCTCTATCAACCTATCTATTCATCCATCTATCTATTCATTCATCTATCTATTCATCCATCTATCTATTCATTCATCTATCTATTCATTTATCTATCTATTCGTTCATCTATCTATTCATCCATCTATCTATTCATTCATCTATCTATTCATCCATCTATCTATTCATTCATCTATCTATTCATCCATCTATCTATTCATCCATTATCTATTCTTTCATCTATCTATTCATCCATCTATCTAATTATCCATCTATTTATTTATCCATCTATCTATTCATCCATCTATTATTTCATCTATCTAGGTATCTATCTATTTCTGTATTTAGTGCGGTAATTATTTTTCATCCCGTGGCACCTAATTTTACGACGCCTCTGATGGTATTACTTCAAATGGGTTATAGGATTACCGCACATAGACAATATTTTCATTCATTAAATGTACGTGCACATACTGTTGGAAAACAAATAACTTTGATGAATTAGGTCACACCAGTAATATTCCACCAGGAGGAAAACTACTGGAAATATAACGGTTTATTTAATGTACTGCTTTCATTTTGTTATTCAACGGAGGTGATACTACTTGACTTATTTTTAATTTAAACGAATATAAAATATAAACATTTTGAACTTTCAGTGTGTTACTTCATTCAGTTAAGCGGAAGAATTTTAATTTCCTTTTAAATTTCCTTTTAAGTAAATAAAATAATACAAAGATTTGGAACGGTTACTTATATTTTTATCTTATATAAAATCCTAATTTGAAGTCTGACTAGACGAATTTCGGTAACAACGTAATAAACAACTGCCCTCGTAATCGGGCCTTATCAGCACAAAATATCTTAAAAGAACATTTTTGTTAGTATCAAGTTTGTATCTCGTTTTTAAAAAAGAATTCTAAATAATATAGGCTAAATTAAACGCCATTAAGTATCAAGGTTTTTTAACAGCGTTTTAGAAAAAATCTTTTTAAGCCTTTTAGATAGAACCGCCTTAAAGACACGATTGAAGTTTTCTTCTCAGTTAACTCATTTTATGATCTACGTATAGTTTCTAGCCTTACTAAGAGAGTCCCTTAATGAAATGTGACCAGACTCCAATAAAATTCTGTAACTCAAACATCGCACATATTTTTGTTACGTATGCTAATCGATTTTGCTACATTTGGACCATTATATGTAAATTACAAGACTAAGCAAATATGGTAGCCAAATGTAGCACTTTTTTATATAGTGAGTCGCTAGTAAGTGTTCCTAGACTAAAATAATAAAGTTCTGTAACTCTAGCATCACATATATTTTGTTACTTATGTAAATCGATTTCGCTACATTTTAACCCCTATATGCAAATTCCAAGATTTTGTTTGAACCAATATGGTATGCTAATGCAGAACTCATCGTCTATTTAACTTAAAAGTTCAAGTTTGAAGTAGGTGATCCGTTTTAAGGATGAATACACTACATAAATTTGGACCCAAGAGTATATAGTGACAAAAACGCCAAAAATATTTTCAATATACCAATTTATAATACAATTCTTATTCCAGCCTACGTATCGCCTGTTACTAATATTATTAACTCAAAGTATCAGCAATCAATGAAAGTTAGAAACAAAAGAATTTTATTCGCAAAGATTTTTAAATCCCGCGACGAGAAATTCAGTGGTTTGAAAACGCAACTTCGTTCATTCGCAGGCGATTAACTTCCAATGTTTAGCGTTGTGTATAGGAAAATAGAATGAAATGCGTAAAACCGAAGTACGTGAAATCTTTTTCAATTATGAAGGTGATGGTAATGACTAAATTGGGGATAGATCTTTTAATATATTAGCTTAAAATCGGTACGAATTTCAGAAACGAAGGCGTGGGGTCAACATTAGTATAAAGAAGTCACTAATTAAGAACAATTTTACAAAAAAAAAAACTATAGCCGAAACACAACACAAGCATCATATAAAGTTTAATATATCCCAATCTATTTGTCCGTGTCGTATATAAAAGTTGTACGTGATTTTTTTTCAATGAGTCTTAACGGAAGTTCGTCGAAGACCGGACGAAGAGAGATTTTCAAAGTCATGGTAATTGAGACTGCTACTTTAAAACATTTTTTTTTTTCACCAGCAGAGATTTTCTGAGAGAGTTTTTCTGAAAAACTCGTATTTCTTGCAAAGTAATCTCATTTTGCAGTGGAAATTTATATCAAAGCGACTTGTTCTGATAGTTGGTAAATCATCTGCTTTCACGATGCATAAACCAGGAAGTTAATCTAAGTTAAGAAAGTATTAAAGCTGAAACGATCATTATAAACGAGACTAATCTGTTTAATTCAGTATAGATATGTAATGTCAATGGAAGACAATATGTTTTTTTTTAAGAGGCAACTCCCGCATTAGGAATATATCCTGTGTCGCGGGGGACTTTACAAACATACATGAAACGGACACAAAGAACACCCAGACTCAGAACAACAATTTGTGGATCACACAAAGTGTGGTCCCATGTGGGGATCGGAGCCACAACACTCAGCGTAGTACTAAGCGGCGTGGCGACCACTTAAACCACTACGCCATCCGTGCAGTCAATATTGAAATTCAGAGTTCAGGTTTTTGAAAAATAAATTAATTTTAAATTTGATAAACATTGGCAACTCATTCTTAAACTATAGTGTAGTTTGGAATGAGTTGCGAATGTTTATCAAATTTAATATATATTATATAATTATAGTAGTACCTATTTGATATTAATAAATTCACCATTATTAACATTTAGTCGATATGAAGCTCTACATTATGATCGTGTCCTCAAATTAGTTGTTAAAGCTTTGTCGTAACTTTTATATATCAATTGATAGAAGTTCGAAATAACCCTGCGGCATGATTTAGAAGCTTTATTGTCCAAACTCGAAACAAAACTTCCACACGTTTTGCGTGTATTGCCGTTGTTTTATTCACACCTCGGAAAGCCGTCAAACAAAAACAAACTGGTGTACTACCTATGCGTAAAGTTTTAAGCCATATATTCCGAAACTTGCCGATAAATTTTGTGCGGCCTTGGAAGTAAGGTTCCGACGAGAATTGGAGCAGTTATTGGTCCAAAGCCGATTGTTTGGAAACATTTGAACAATTTGCACCAATTGAACTATACAGCTGCTAATTTATAGAGTTATTGTTTATTTATTCGCTCCTTTCTCTTGTTCTTGTTGTAATGTATAAAACAAATTATTAGTTACTTGCTTCGATCACATAATGTAACTTGGCTTTATTATCCAATCAAAACTCATTATTTCGTAATAATTTTTGCGTGTGGGTTATATTTTTATTTGTTACTTGTTTCAAAAGGCTAGCTAGATTTAGATAAAATTTGCTACACCCAACAACACTATTGATATATTGATAACCGCGATTGTTTGTCATTCTATTTTTAAACACAACGTTATCTTATATTGACACCTTCACTATTATGTATTAGTTAAGAATGATTTTTTTGGCCTCTTGATTTACTACAATCTGTCTCCTTTATGGGACATTCAGCAGTATGTTGGTCGGTGCTAACGCTATCGCGCTCTGTATGTGACCTGTGTGACATTCTCGTTGTTTAGACACCAGTTATATTTACTGTAATTGTACTAAATTTTGGGCTATTTTACGCTTTAATTATCGCGCTTTATCATGGTTTGCCATTAATGGCCAAACCAGAGAATTTGGTTGCTGTTCGATGCGTTCTTTATAGGACTTAGTATGGCGTATAATTTCCTGCTTCAAGGTGGGTATTCGTAGGTCATGGTGTAATGGTTCATTGGGTATAAACCAGGGAGCGTTGACTAGACCATCATACGCAGTGCTTTATTTTGAAACCTTTGTATGATTCTAATGTTCGCGTGAGTTGCGGTTAAGAAATGAAATGATAGTTACAACTTTATGATTTAGAAGAACAACATTATCATGTCTTGGATCAGGTCATACTTAAGGATGAGGTAAGTACATTTTTTATAAGGGGCAGTTATTAAATCTTTTTTACTAACATCCGAATATTCAATTTCTCTTTATCATGTAAAATATAATGTTTTGTTAATATTACGTTTGTCGACAAAAAAAATTTGTAAGGATTCTTTTTATATTTTTCACTTAGTAATGAAATGTCTTGACCTCGACTTTTATTGCTTCGTGGTTCTAATTGTTCGCAGCAATGGGTATACTAAATAATGAAAGTTAAAATACCGCCTTTGGTTGCCGTTTTCATTCCTGTACGAAGCAAACATTTATATAATCCAAACGCTTTTATTTATACTACAACTTTGTGTATGAATAGAAAGTCGGCAATTTTGCTTTGTAAAGAACTAAAAATTTATGAACAGTTCTTTATAAAACATTATATCCCAGGAGGTACCTATTACTTTCTGATCGCTGTTTTAAAGGATCTTAAATGATTAAAAGGATCAGAAACTGGTGTTTTAAACGTAAAACAGTCTTCAAAATTCCATATAGACTGCACAGATGGCGTAGTGGTTTAAGCGGTCGCCACGCCGCTTAGTACTGCGCCGAGTGTTGTGGGTTCAAACCCCACATGGGACGACACTTTGTGTGATCCACAAATTGTTGTTCTGAGTCTGGGTGTTGTTTGTGTCCGTTTCATGTATGTTTGTAAAGTCCCCCGCGACACAGGATATATTCCAAATGCGGGAGTTGTCTTTTAAAAAACAA